ATTAAATTGCGTTTTAAAATAACACATGACCCCAAGGTATATAATTTAATTACAGGTGGGCATAAAAATAAAACAAAAAAATTATTATCAACATTCAGGAATAGAAAAAAATATTTAGTCATCTGTACATGAAAAATGTATTTATTTATTTTTTTGTTTTATTAATTAAGCAAACGAAGATTAAATGATAAATATTTATTATATATATTTTTTAAATATTTATAGAAAAACAAAATAATTATATATGCATGCAGCGACAGGTGTATGGTATAAAGAAAAAGGCCAGACACAAGCAAGAATGCAGTTAAACAAAGAAAACCTTTCATAAAATGAGTCTAACGCATAAAACACACATACATATTTGTATAGACTCTGTACACTGAGAGAAAATTCACTAGACTAATTTGAGCATATTACTAAAGATTTTATTTTGAAATAATTTCAAGTTTTCTGTAATAGGAAAAAAATCGAAACACATATAAGAGAAATTTTATACTTTGCAGATGAATATCCGAAATACATCATTTTCCGGCGTATTTAATTTCCATTATTATTTCTTACAAAATCCCCGTCTCCAGTTGGGATGTTGGCAGAAATAGATTTCAAAATTATTTTGGGGAGCGACAAGAAAAAATTTACTTTTCCAAGTTAAATTTGCAGAAAACAAGTAAAAAATTATCAGTCGGTTTTGCCGATAGATGTGTACCCTCAGCCCCTTGTGGGGGCGGTACCAGAAGAAATGGTTCGATCTTTACCATACTTATAACTGATCTTGTGTTGAAGGAGACCACCGATTTTGTCCATCTCGGTTTAAGTTTGATAAATATATTACGATGTACCAAGTTTAAACCAAATTGGATACTCTCTTCGAGAGTTATCGGGCGCACAAACCAGGCAGACTTATGGATATCCCATATCCAAATGTCCTGAAACGGATTTAGACCAAAGAGACCTAGAGTCCAAAATTGTTGTTTCGATGAGGCACGTTTTGGCTGTATCATATCTAGCCATATGGTTGACAATAAGGGGATAGAGACGAGAGGTATATATAATTTGATACGGTCAAAATGTGCTTCATCGAAATAACGGTTTTAGACCCTAGGTCTTTTTGGACGAAAACCATTTCAGGATTAGCGATGTCCGTCCGTCCGTCTGTCTGGCTGGTGCGCACGACAACTCAGGAAGGTAATATCCGATCCGATCCAAACTTAGTACATCGTAATATTATTGTCAAACTTAGATTGAGTTCGGAGATGGGCTCCCTTCAACATTTTCAAAGAAAATAACTTACTGCACAGAAAGAGAAAGAATAATTCGATTTTACTCCAAATTTGCTATTCCTAATGTTTGCATCAGTGCTAGGTCCGGTGCGAAAATAGACAATATCGGTCCACTCCATGAAATGCCTCCCCCACAAAGGGTCACAATTGTGCAGTAATTATATCTCTTATGCAATGAGATGTAAGAGTCCGATTGTCTTTAAATTTCACACGTCCCAATATTTTTATTATCAAAAGATTTGGTAAGAAGATGGGATATATTGTGCCAATCCTTCTGGTACCTCCCCCACAAGTGGTCAAAATTTGGTATAGTCATGAATCTCTTAAAACGCCAAATGAGCATTTGATTCCTTTCAAACTCGGAACATCTTAATATTTTTAGCAACACAAGATCTATTATAAATGTGGTAGTAATCGGACCATTCCATTTAGTACCTCCCCCACAAAGGGTCAATGTTTTGAATAACCAAAACACTCATCAAATCCGAAATTAGCATCCGATTCTCTTTATATTTTACACATCTCATCGTTTGAACTATCACAAAATCTACTGTGAAAATGGAATATATCGGTCCACTTCTTCTGAAAGTGAAGGAAGTAAGCAATATAGTCCAAACCAGGCACTGCGCAATTTTTATATCATATTTATTTAGGTCCGATACGAAATGGACAATATTGGTCCATAGAGGGTCAATAATTTGAATGAATTTAAAAAAATGGCATTTGGGAAGACGAGCAAAACCTTAAAGTGCCAACTACTGGAACACATACCCTATTCAGGCGATTTCTAAGGCCTACCTTGTAAATTTTTGTGCCATGGAGAATATTGATGCAAGGACTATGATTTTTTTTACCAATATTATTTGTGAATTAATAATCGGAAATTTTTTTATATATATTTGAGATCTGTTTCAAGATCGAGAATTTTTCACAAAAAAAGGTTTTTTTTCAACTGGCCTAAAATCTCAGCATTTTTAAGAAAACAATTTCAGAGAATATTTTTCGGCCAGCAGGTTCATAATCGAGATTTTTTGAAAAACATTATACCCTTCAACACTATGTATTGGAGGTGTTATAAGTTTGATTGAGCCAAAAATCGTCTCCCACATAGGAACCTATACATGGATCTTTCTATCTAACCGAGCTGAGTCGATCTAGCTATGTATGTCCGTCTGTGCATGTTAATTTGTAATCAAGCCACAGGTCGCAATTATGGCCTGATCCTCACGAAATTGAAGTTTTGGAGATAATGAGTTTTGGGAGATGATTGCAAAATATTTAGGAATTGAAATTAACCAAAAACATACGCCAATAAGCCAATTTCCATAATTCCCATCAATTGAACCATTAAAAATTGAATTTCTTTTGTTCCATTTTTTCATATTTTCTATCGCATGCGATTTTGTCAATTTCACTTATAATTTTTTTACAACTTACAATTTTCTAAATTTTTATACCCCGCAACACCAAGTTTTGAGGTCCGATCCTCAAGAAATTTTGCACAGGGGTAGGGTCAGAATTAAAGCCTATTGTTCTTAAGATGTACATTTAGGGGTTCAAATGGTCTAAAAAATTTATTTTTTTTTTCAATTTTGTAGTCGCTCTATAGGCCACAATTGAAAACCAATCGTCACTGAATTTCGTATCAGAAGAGAGTTAAGGACAGCGAAGAAGTCTAGCATTTTGGATGACCATTGGATTATATTTAGCTGTAAAATGGACCACAACTTTCGGGTGCAATTGTTTTGAATACCTAAAAACACGACGGAGTGCATAAATCTGAGATTATTTCAAAAACGAATTTTTACAAAATGGATTTGGACATAAGGGGACTTCGAATATATTGTGGTGTTGTAGAGTATCACATGGTCGGCCCCGCACAGTCATGGCCTTTATTTACTTGTTTTAAAAATATTTTTATGAATTTTATAGTTTTATATACACGAAGAGTTGTATAATCGGAGATTTTTTCAAAATCGAGAATTTCAAAAAAAAACGTTTTTTTTTCAACTGGCCTAAAATTTCTAAATTATTAAAAAAACAATTTTAGGGAGTAAATCTTCGAATAACAGATTCATAATCGCTATTTTTGGCAAAATCATTTTTTAAGATAACAATAATGAAAAAGATGAGCGCCATCGTCAAGAGTTTATTTTAAAACTATTATTTCAACGACTCTCAGAATAATTTCTTAAAAGACCTACGGGACTATAATCGTTGATTTTACAAGAATAATTTTTAAAAGGATTAACTTTTTGTTAATCTTGCATTGTATAGGACAATTATTTATTATTTTCTAAGGAGTACCAGAAAAACATTTGCAGCATTTAGTTGAGACCATTAAAAATCGCAATTGGTTGTTTAAAATTAAATTTTTATATTTTGTCTTAAAATTAAAAAAAAAAAGTTTGCTCATATATACTTCCATACCTTCCATAACCTTAAACTGGATAAATTTTTCTGTCCTGGTTTTTGTTTCTGCTTCAATCAACATCAACTGTTATGGACAATTTAAAAACATACATATTCCTATTGGAATCTTTAAAGGAATTATTAAAGTGCTTTATGTCTGGTTTTAGGAAATTTTAAAATACTTATCGAAGGACCTTTGGTTCTTGGGATATGATTCTTAGACTTTCGATTATCACTTCTACCTGTGTGGTTGGTTATTTCAAAATTTAATAAAAATCACCAGATAGGTACCTACACATTTAAAGCTTTATCAATTAAATATTTCTCTATGGGTAGGTTGCTAGAAAATGTTTTCCCCTAGCGAATTAAAACACGCATTTTAATTAGCCAACCACACAATGGCGACAAGTACTTAAATTTTTTCGTGCTCTTTTCTCTGGATTAAATTGCAGCAGCAAAAACGGTTAACTGCAGTTAATAGCAAAAAAATCGTATGAGAGATAGACACAATTTTGGGTGGGATTTAAATTGGAAAGCAAAAAAAAAAGCAACGCACCAAAATCCCATTCAACCAACCAAACAGCAAAAAGATAACAGTTTGATAAAAAAAAACAGAAACCCGATCATGGCTAACTAAACAAAACAAAAAATGTTAAACAACAACAAAAAATTCCCATAAGAAAAAAAAAACAAATGAAAATCGACTAAAAAACTTAAAGATAGCTGAGTTAACTGGCAGTTAGACTTAATCAACAACAGTGGCAGAACAACAACGAACAACGGCCATCCAACTCGGCAATGTGAAGAGGAACTAATAAGAAAGTCTTGGTTGGCCCAAAAGTGCCTCTACTGCTGCTGCTACTGATGAAATAAATGAGTATTTTTACGAGATGATTTCTTTCGTTAAATATGTGAAATAAAAGAAAAAACAACAACGAGCAAGCAATACATCAATGTTAAGGGAGCGAGCAAAAGAGCACCGAAAAGAGCAAAGTATCTTGGTTCAGGTTGAGTAACCCACCAGACAACTGCATAACGGAGCAAAGAGCCATAAGAAAAACAAAACAAACACACACACTCTGAGTTACACTCACTTCCTCTCCGTAAGAGATACCCTCTCTCTCACACACTGTGTGGCTCTTTGGACGGAGAGATTACATACAAACTTACACTGCGAGGAGATGGATAGATCTGTTGGTTAAATGCCTTAGTTTGTTTTTTCATCCAGAGTTTCGACTCAAAAGTGCAAACAAAACACATTTTAAGGTCTTGCCCCGCCGCCACTACTCATTCAAGCCAGCCAACCAACCAAACACACACACAATCACTACCAGCAACAACAACAATATCTAATCGCCTCATCCATGAACACACACAACCAACCGAGGCCAATGAGTAGTAGTTGGAAACGATAATGGTGGACCTGGGTGCAACAGAGACAGCACGATAGGGGGAGAGAATAGCATAACCGAGTTTTTGGGGTGGTTTTACAACACATCGACTGAATGGATGCAGAGCGAGCCGCCAAGCAACCAGCAGCAAGTCAGGCAAGCAATGTATGTGTCTGCTCTGGCTGGCCCATATGCAGGCAAAGCGCTATGGGATTTGAGTGGTGGAATGAGAGAGATTTGTGTGATGTGTCGTTAGGTCGAAATGGTCGAGTCGGGTCGGGTCGTGTACCTTTTGCCACGAATGTTTTGTCAGTCAGGCTCTAAGAGGCCTTACGAAAACAGCTGAGATTTTCGCTGCTCGCATGACGCGCATTTTCTGACAAACGAAATTTACAAAGAGCAAAAAAAAAGCAAAGAAAGAATAAAACAAACTTAGAAATTTTTCAAACCAAAAAAGAAATTTAAGAAAAATTTAAAGTTTTGAAAAAAAATCTAAAGAAAAAATTGAAAAGCAAAGCAAATAAAAAAAATTATTTAAAGAGAGAAAAAAAATATTTTTCCAAGTGCAAAGAAAAAAAATCACAAAAGAAAATTTTAAAGAAAAGTGTTGCCGATTTTGAAGTTTTCCAAATAAAATATTTTGGCCCAGAGCAATGTAAATGGAAAAAAATAAGCCAAATTTGTGAAAAATATGAAAATTTTGTGAAAATCTCAAGGCAATTGTTTTGTGCAAATCGAGGAAAATTGGATTTTCGTATCAACGCTTTTTTTTGGAAATTACCATTACCACAAACTTAACAAAAGACCGTTGTCCTCCACTCTTTGGTGGTCACGGCTTTGCCAATTAACAATCAAAAGTGCATTCTTCGTACAACAACAACAACATCAACGCCAACACCTGTACGCCCACATCCGCCAAAATGATTACACACAACTCCTTGAGTGTCTATGGTGGCGGCGTTATGTGTGCCTCCCCCTCCACCGCACCCGGTTTCTTCAATCACAGACCGCAATCGGGCGCCGAGCTATCCGCCTTTGAACTGGGCCTACCACGTTCCATGGCCCTGGGCGTACCACCACCCACAGCCTGGCATGATCCCAATTTGGGTGGCCATTTGCATGCCTCCGCCGGTCCCGGTTCATTGGCCAGTGCCCAGACAAATCAGGCCGGTTCCGTGGGCACCGGCGGCGGTACAACACCCTCCAGTGTGGCCAGCCACCAATCGGTGGGCATCAAACAAGATCTATCCGCCCTTACGAATTCCTCAAACCAGCAATCGAATCAACATCAACAAAACTCCTCCGCCGCCGCCGCTGCTGCAGCCACCCACCATACAATCAAAGAAGATCTGTCCGCCATGAACACGGTCAGCAATAGCGTTGGAGGTCATCATGCCTCATCAGCGTCGGCAAATCAACACACCGGCAGTCATGATATGAGTTCGCTGATGAAATCGTCACAATCACAGTGCCTGGTTGGCGGTAGCAGTGGTGGTGGTGGTCATGGGGGTCAAAATCAGGCCGGCAACGGGGGTAGTACAACACCCAGTTCACAGGCCAATAGTTCACATTCGCAAAGCAGTAATAGCGGTTCCCAAATCGATCCCAAACAGAATATTGAGTGTGTCGTGTGCGGTGATAAGAGTTCGGGTAAACACTATGGCCAATTCACATGTGAAGGTAAGTTGAGGAAAAATTTATTGAAATTAATTTTTTTGATTAGAAATTTTGGGCGAAAGAATTCCAATTGGATTTTGTGTCCACCATCAAAGGCTGCTGTTTTCTGGATTTTAAAATTGTTTAGGTATAAAATTTTTTTCAAAATGAGCTTTAGAGTTTGAAAATGATTACAGGGGTCATGGAGATATTATTCAAATAAATGAAATTTCTCCAAGCAATTTTTCGTCAAATTTATGTAAAAAATTCGTAAAAAATAGTTTCCGTGAATATTTGACTATTTTTATGTTTTCTACGGTTTAACAATTTCTTCAGCTTTAAAATGAGCTAGTCCATATGAATATACCTCTCGTAGTTTGGAAATGTACTTCATGTGGATAAATCTTAAAACAATATTCAAAACATATTTTTCACATTCTTTATTTTTCTAAAAAATAATAACAATTAGTGTTTTTCAAAAAGCTTCCATTTGTGTATATATCTCAAGTAGTTTAGAAGTTATTGACAAGATATTTGGAATGGAAAAAAGAAATATATTTTTTATTAATTCATTGATTTTTAGAAAATTAGTTAAAAATATTCAAATACTATTTTTAAGATTTTATTTATTTCCTCTCCCAATATTACAACAAAATTAGCTTTCCAAAAAGCTTCAAGTTGTGGATATATCATAAACGGTTTAGAAGTTATGGGCAAAAAGTTTGGAAAAAAATGGAGTTGAATTTTTTATTAGAAAATATTTAAATTTATTTAATAGAAAATATTTAAAAAATATTCAAATCCAATTTTTAAGATTTCAATAATCTCTTATTTTAAATTCACAACAAAGGTAGCTTTCCAAAAAGCTACTACGAATGAATATATCTTCATTAGTTTATGAGATATGAGCAAAAATCTTCAGAAATTTAAAAATTGTCCGATTTTCAATAAAAAAATAAAAAAATCATAAAAAATAGTTAATTTTTTTTTTCAATATTTATGTTTTTCCTAAAAAATAGTGACAATTCGTGCTTTCAAAAAAGCTTCCACTTTTGGATATATCTCAAGTAGTTTAAGAGTATGGGCAAGAAAATCGAGAAGAAAAAAAATATTATGTTTTTATTGATATACTGAGTTTTAGAAAATTAATTTCAAAATATTCAAATTAAATTTTTAAGATTTTATTTATTTTCTTTCATGAAATAACAACGAAAACCGCTTTCAAAAAAGCTACAGATAATGAAAATATCTCTATTAGTTTAGGAGATATGTGCTTCAACATTTCCCTCTCCATAAATGTCTTTGATTTCATGCCCTCTTTTATTTCATAACAAGATTTTTGTTCCTAATTGCGCCACTCTCAAAAGAGGGTCAATAACTTCTCTCCAGAGCAAAGCCCAGAAAAAAAGAGGGAGTAAATGCAACAAATGTTTGTTTTTGTGGCACAATAAAATCCATAAATCCTTTAAGAAGGAATGCAAGCGCCTGCTATCCAAATTGGAGGCGGTTTTTTTGGCTTTGCATTGAAGAAATGTATCTCCGCACACATGTGAAAGACATGGAGAGAAGCTTTGAAAACAAATGATTTATATTTCTTCAAAAAGCAAGAAAAGAAAACAAGCTTTGAAAAAAAATTCCCATAAAAAGGCGCCAAAATTTTTTGATTTCTCGGTCATCTCCCCAACTGGTTTTTAGAATTTCTGCTACTTTGTTTTCCAATTTTTTAATGGCCGCTTAAAAACCCATATCATTAATTTGTTGCCGGCCATTTGCCTTATAACTACTTAGAAACTAATCCTGGTAATTTTGTTACCAATAAAAATCGTAGATTTTTGTATTCATCTTGCGTTTTGATGGGATTTTGATAGCATCTCACCCTCACTCCCTCTTCCACCCTCTTGGTATGGCACGCTTTTTTGCTGTTTAAACGTTTTTGAATTTTTATTTTGTCTTGTGGTATGCCATCACTTAATTTTGTATGGTCATCATCATCATCATCATCGTTGTAGTTTCATGCGTTCCACACCTAAAAGAAATTCCCTATCTTCATCAGTTATTGTAGGCTGTCAGAGAGACATGGTGGCATGAAGGCTATTGGAGTTAAATATCACAACACCATCTAGACAATTTCAATATTATCTGTATTTAACAGAAAAAGAAACCTAACATCGTGTTTTGCTATTTGAAAATGATTTTTTATTTTTTCGGAGTTGGATGATGACTAGGCATTGTGTCGTAGGCCCCTTGCAGGGCAGTAGACTAGACACACGTACAAGGTTTTTTTTTTTGGGAAGACATTATGTTTGGCAAAATTTTTTGGAAAGGAATACAAAATATTTAAGAGAAATTAAAAAAAAAAACTATTGGAAATTATTTTAAATGGGAAAAATTAGGGAATTTTTCGAAAAGGGACATTTTTTAATAATTTTTTAAAATTAGAAGAATATATATAGAATGCTCCCAGAAATAGAATTTTCCTAAGGGGTAAATTTTGGTATTGTGTGTAATTTTTTATTAATAATTTAATTTACAATCTGGAACTGCTTAAAATTTTGAAAAATTCCCCCTAAAATAAAAATTTCCCTTCGAGGGAAATTTATAGTTTTGAACAAGATCGCAATTTTCTTTCATATTTTCAATTTTCTTGTAATAAGATTTCATTTTACATTGAAAAATAAAAATTTCCCTGAAAATTTCCCAAAATCGAAATTTCCCCAAAAATTTCCCAAAAGGGAAATTTTCAAAGTTTAACTTATTTTCCATTAATTTTTTGTGTAGAATCCAGAAATGCAAGAATTTTTGTAAAAATTCCAACAGACAAAAATTCCCCTTCAAGGGAAATTTTTATTTTTGCCTCAAATGAAATTTTTTCCGCAAATTTTTAAATATCTTAAAAAAATACAATTTTCCGTGACAAACAAAAATTTCCCTAAAAATTTCCCAAAAGGGAAATTTTCAGATTTTGCATAAAAATCGTATATCTTCTCCTCAGAAAGCTAAAACAAAAAGAATTTCTTGGAAATTGCTAAAAATAAAAATTTCCCTTTTTGGGAAATTTGTTCTTTTCGAGGGAAATTTTGGATTTTGGGGTAAATTTTTGGCGTGGAAAATAATTTAAATTATTTTTAATTAAATTTTGAACAATTTTCTATTAGTTTTGCTTTTTTGCCTTGATTTTCCCAACAATCCATCATCCATGCATGAATGGCAACTTCATCATAAATTCCCATATAACGCTGGACATTGTAGTTTAGTTCTGCCTTCTCTGCCCGCTGTTGGCACACATCAAATATAAATAGAGATTATAATTCGTCTGCCGTTGGTTTTTTTTTGTCGAATCTCTCTACTATTTTATTACGTCAAAGGCCGTAAAGTGAACACGTACAGCTAAATGGCCCAACGCGCCAAGGTATCCCTATATCCGTTGTTACAAAGCCCAGACGGACGGACATTATCTCTATGAAAACAACATCTTAAAGGTTCTATCAGAAGAAGCAAGCAAGCAAACAAACAAACACTGGAAAGAAAAATCCAGACAAATAGTCATACACAACAAAAAAGTTGAGAGGAAGCAAGGCATCAGGAGGCAGGCAGTAAGGGATGTTTGGCTGGCTGGACAAACAAAAAAACTCACACACACAAACCAAATTCATTCCCAAGATCCCAGACAGTTAGTTAGACATTGAGATTACACCACACACAGCTAGACCAGGCTCTCTGAAAGAAAAACGTAATGTTGATCAGGAGGCATAAACTTCAAGCCGGCCGCTTTGTTGGGCTTTTTTTCCGTGCCAAGAGAATCGCACGTGAATCAAACAAAACGCAAATGAAAAGCAATGCATTTAGGCCCAGCTCAGCTTGGTGTTATGAATGCGTTAGAATTTTTGCGATTTTTTTCGGGGAGAAAACTTTATGCATTCTTAAAAGATTGTGGTTGTTGTTGGCCACAATTCTTATCTTACAGTTGGTCATCATTTTCCACCAAGATGATAATGGTCATCATCATCGTCATCAGCATAAGCCTGGAACAACACCATCTACACATGGCCTGGTCTTGACATTCTCCACCAACACCGTCACCGCCACCACCTCCACCACCTTGGAGGAGGAGTAGGAGGGAGCCATGATTTTTAGTTTCTTTTTTTGTTTTTGGTTTGGGTTGCTTCATCTTCGTTTAAAATTGATTGCTATCGTGTTTTCCTCATCAACAGCAACAAGCAAGCAAGCATAAAAATAACAACAACAACAGCAAGAAAAACACCAGCTCTGAGACGACTGGAAACATTGATGCCGCAGCAGTGGCAGCAACATACCTCAAATACCTAGCTTACCACATGCAGCAAGCTAACATGCATGATGCATCATGCCATTCCATGGGCCTTAATGTTATAACGTTTAATCTCCCCCAGAAACATTGTTGTTGTTGTTCCTTGTTGTCCCATGTAGCTAGGCGAGATGTGGGTGAGGTTCCATGCTTAGATTTGGAAGTTTTACAAGAAAGTGGACAAATTTCACAAAGCCTGGGAACGTTTTTTTCCCGTTCGGCGGTGATGAGGATGATGATGAAACAAATTGAAGTTAATTAGGATTTTTTTATCCAAAATATCCAAATGGCATTCCAAAATTTGTTTGATATCCGAATATTAATTAAAAAATAATTATCTGCTTTTCAAACCACTTTAAGTGCTTAAAATATTTATCCACACCCCATTCTAAAAGTTCCAAAATCATGATCTAAACATCAAAAAAACGTTATCCGTTTTATCCACGTTATACAAAATATTATCCGCTTTTATCCAAGAAGCTTTAAACCAATATTTAATTAGGTAAAATGTTTATTCACGTTATCCGTAAAGCTCTAAGATCATTATCCAAACATCAAAAAACGTTATCCGTGTTATAAAAATATTATCCGTTTTATCCAAGAAGCTTGAAATCATTGTTTAATTACATAAAATTTATATCCACGTTATCCGAAAGGCTTCAAAATCATTATCCAAACACCAAAAAACGTTATCCGTTTT